TTCCAGCATCCATTTCTGCTTCAGTCAGGTAGGTAACATAATCATCAAAGTTAGTAGGCCTTTTAGACCTAGATGACCTCCTGAGCAAATTTTCGGGTTGAGCATTGGCTTGATGGTGATCATTTGAGGTGTCTTCATTTCCAGGTACATTTGGAGTAGGAGGAGGTGCAGTGTCCTGCGGATTGGCATTGAGTACAAGAGGAGTAATTGGAGGTAAATTAATCGACAAGTCTCTTCCCCCCGCGTTTTGTACTTCTAGCAATTCATCATAAGGGTTTTCACTGCTCCCACTGACCTTAAAATCATCAAGGAAATGAGCATCTTTGGTTTCTACAATGCGAGTGACATGGGAAGGACAATAAAATCTGCAACCCTTTGAGTGAGAAGGATAACCAATGAAGTAGCAAGTTACAGTTTTCGTGTCGAGTTTCTTCAAGAATGGATTATAAAGTTTAGCTTCGGCAAGACAACCCCATACTTTCATATATCTTAGACTCGGTTTCCTTCCTGTCCAGAGTTCATAAGGAGTTTTAGGGACAGCTTTAAAAGGAACCCTATTGAGTATATGAACGGCTGTTTTTAAGGCCTCAGTCAAGAGAAATAGAGGTAAACCTGGGTGGGCGGGTACTGGGCTTGGGCCGGGGCTGGGTAATGGGTTGGGTTCGGGTAGTGGGCCACATGGGCCTGGGCCGGGTAGGGGGAGTAGGGACGTGGGCCTAGTAGGCCGGGTGAGGGGGTGGAGAACTGGTAGGTATTTGGGCCGCCGGGTTGTCGTTGATTCGGGCTGCTACGTCCACGTCCACGGTCGCGCCCTCGATAGCCACCAGAGTTGCCCCGATTGGATCCGCTGAAGTTGCCGCGCCCGGAGTTCTGCCCGTTGCTGCCCTGCCGCGACTGACCCCCGCCCGCCGTGTGACTGCCGCCGCCGCCGCTAAAACTGAGAAGAGCGGTGGACGAGCCGGCGTTGGGGAGAGCGTCGGCCTGCTGTTGTTCGACCAAAAGGAGGGCCGATCGTACCTATAAGAACGTCAACAATGGGTTTTGATACTGCAAAAAATGAACTTGAGCCCGAATATCATGCGGCAAGCCTTGAAGAACTTGTAAGACAAGGGCGTGCTCGGTCACCAGAGCATCCACGTCGTCAAGGTAGTCGGCTAGGTTTTTGAGAGTGTGACAATATTCATTGATTTTCTTGGTTCTTTTGACGGTTGTACGGAATCGATGCTCCAATTGCATCGCCCGGGCATGCTTGTTGTCATGGAATAATTTGTAGATGGCCTTCCAGAAAGCAGAAGCTGTGGGGCTGTTGGCAAGGTCGAGATCGGAGACCTCATCAGAGATGGTAGACAAGATCCATCCTTGGAGTAGGGCATCAAATTGGTACCACTCGGCATCATCGACCGATTTGGCGACGATAGTGCCGTCAAGGTATCCCATGAGATTGAAACGAAGAGGCGAAAGAGTCGACTCCACTTTTTGTAGTTCGGCTCCGAGATGCTAAGTTGAACGGGGATATGAAGTTTAATGTTTGAGATTGTTGTAAAAGCATGGTGGGGAGATTTGGAGGTGTTGGTGTTGTCAGAGGAGACAGAGGAGACTTCGGCCATGGTGATTGTTGGAGATGAAGGAGAAGACCGAGAGTGAGAGAGAGATTCTGTAACACCCCAACTCGAATAACCCAATTACCTAGATTATTTGAGCCGGAGTAGTTACCATGATGGTAAATACGCATGGTAATTTAAAGGATAATTTAAAACCAATTTAAACTTTAATATAAATGATAATTTCAAATATTAAATTCAGAGTATTGCTGAAATAGTACAGAAGCTTAAATATAAAACATAATTAAATTGTTTTACATTTTTCTGGGTTCTCGCCCGAAAAGGTATTTATTTAATTAAAGCATCATAAATGTGGTCCACCAGTCCGTACATCTCGTCACTCTCATTGACCTCCGGGATGGGCTCCATGATCAGTATTGTTACCTGCGTGTAGCAAGGAAAACAAACTACACGCTCAGCGTCAGCTGAGGAATACGCTAATACAACAATTCCAAGTTGACATACAATTATTCATGATGTGACATAATATAGCATATATGTTCAAGATGATGGTAATGATACATAATTGATGCCATACGAAATCATAATGATTTGCACTTGATGATGATTTCATGCTGTATGATTCTAACGAGCAAGGACACCCTTGCGCTATGAGGTTCGTCCATTTAGTACGACGAACTCACGCGGCCTTAGTCTCACAAGGAAGACTAGAAAGTAGGGGTGGTACTCGAAACCTGAATAACATGTACGTACACTAAGCCCGGAACGGATGATGTCGGACTAGTAAGTCCCGCACATCACGCTATAAGAGACGCAATTACGCATGATCTCTTACGCATGCATATGATATGATATGCTACAATATGTGTGATGATATGAGTCATATGACATGAACAATTTGTAAACAATATGAATGGATAAATATACTTTATTTTATTTGGGTGAAATCTGATAAAAATATCATTTAATTAAGCTACGGGGCTCGGAACGGTTGACCGTTTGACGCGACGGTCGACCTTGAACTTCATCGCGTCGGGTTGGAGAATCACCGTGACGGTCGACCGCGATTGACCGTTAGTCGACCGTTGTTGACTGGAGGTGGACAGCGGTACTTGGCTCGGCAAGCAACGGTCGACCGTTGGCCACCGGCGGTCGACCGTTTGTCTGACAGTCTTGCTCCGTTTCGATTTTTAACACAACGGTTGACCGTTTACGTCGACCGTTTGGGTCTGCGAATCCTATTTTTGATATTTTTGGATATCTAAAATACTTCTTTGAGTTATTTTAACACTTATGATTAATATATATATGTATTTGAAGTATTCTTAACATTTATATTTTCATTTAAGGTGAAGTATCAAGAAAAACATATTTTTACTTTATGAGTTTAATGAGTTTGATCTTAAAGCATAAATGACTTATAATATGGCAATCAATCCTAACGATATATCTAGATTGATATTCAACCAAGGATTGCGTTACTAAGGTGCAATGTACTCGCCTTGATAACGTTGAAGACAGAAGTGATAGGAATAAAGTATACGCCTCAACGAATGTTCAACGTACGGACACCTCTATCAACTTCAAGCTTCCAACGTCAGGTCTTCTCTACGATACTCTCTGGGAGTTCCTAATAATTGTTAGAGAATCGACGATAAGAGTTTTGAACGGAATGGAAAGAATATTGAAAAGAAAGTAGTCAAACCCGAGAGGCCCGTCGCCACCGACGCAGTCTCGGTATTTTGACCATATCTCCTTCGTTTCGCAACGAAATCGCAAACCGTTTGATGCGTTGGATTCGCGAGACACGAGGCTACAACTTTTGTTCAGAAATCAGACTGAAATAATGACGTTAAGATATATGAAAATGGCTCACAAGGTGACGGTTTGCTCCTGCCAGGATTTTGAAGAAACTATGATGATTTCTTCTTCTTGTTTCACCAATGGAGTTGAAGTTCTTCCTCTTTTCTTTGCTTGAATGAATCTTCCAACAAGAGAGAATGATTGGAAAAGAAAATATGAGTTTTATGGTAAGCACTTTGAATGAAAGATATGGATATGATGAAGAAAACATAGCCAACCCGTGGAACTCGTCACCACTGACGCAGTCCCGGTATTTTGGCGATATCTCCTTCGTTACTTAACGGAATCACGAACCGTTTGTTGGGTTGGATTCGTAACATCCGGGGCTACGATTTTGGTATAATAAATCATTCGATAAAATGAATAGAGAATTACAGAATTTACGAAGAAGTTGCTGCTGCGTTTTTCACTCAGGATTTTAGAAACTTTGATGTTTCTCCTTGCTCCTTCTTCTTCTTCTTGGCTCAACAATGGAGATGGAATCCTTTCTCCTCCTCCTTTGTGACTGACCGACAGAGAGAGAGTGTGAAGAGGGATTGAGAGTGTGGAGTTGACAAAGTGGAGAAGGAGTTAATATTTAATACACTCCACCTTTGGAGGTATTATGCTAGTGGATGAATTAGTGGGTGTAGGGTAGCTTGATTGAGGATTTGAGGAGATTGGGGCTGCGTGATTGAAGACTTTGGAGAATTAAAAATATTCTTCTACTCCGTAACTAATAAACTGGTTAAAACAGTACGCGCTTTTTCGCCCAAACTGTTCCGTTTTGAAAA